TATATATATATTGTGATTGTGGGTTTTAATTCTTGTTTCATTATTTTTATAGCAGGATCCTTACCTCATTTTAAAATTCATAATTTTTTAATAACCTTGTGTAATGAATGAAATCATAAAAAAATAACAGGACCCAAGCCAGAAAGTGTTAAGTTGCATAAGTTGATATTTTACACCTTTCTACTAGCCCAGAATATTTAACAAAAAACTATACAACTACACAGTAATATACAGAAACTTTCATATTTTTTTTTAAGAGCATTATATATTTTATTGGAAAATGGCCAAAAACCAAACTTTAGAGAATAGTTTTTCTTTCCAAGGTACCTACCAGGAGCAACACCAAAAAATCCATATTCGGGGTTAATAGCTCTTAACTGGCCTTCTTTGTCAAACCACATCCATGCAATGTCATCTCCAACACATTCTACCTTATACCCAGGTAGAGTTGGAGTCAACATGGCCAGGTTAGTCTTCCCACAAGCACTCGGAAATGCTGCAACTATATACTTTTTCACTCCTTGGGGGTTAGTTATACCTACAATCTAAAATAAAATATTCATACTTATAAATCATAGTTTAGAAAGAAACTATAATTACAAATTCAATCAATACTATGTAAAGCTTTATCAAAATAATTTTACTTCACTTCTCTCAAAACATTATTAGTAATCCAATGAATTAGCCATTATTAGTCTCGGAAAACTTTTGCAGTAATACCACATAAAATTATTTTGGAAGCAAACAGTAACATAAACTTGAAGATAGAACAACTCCATTAGATAGTGCGGTATTTTCAGTTTGAACTGATTTCCTATATGGTGAAAAGACAAATTTGTTGATAACAGAAGATTCAGTCAAAATATTTATCACAATAACAAAGTAGTCCCAGTTTTCTGAGTAACTGTCATAAAAAAAGATAAAATTGTAAAAAAGAAAAAGAACAATCTTTATTAGTCACAAACACACACACACACACTTATAGATGGCTGATGGTTATTTTACAAGTGTGCTAGATCCAATAACTGCTTACTCTCTCTCAAGATTTGTTCCAGGATAATTAAACTGTATGTTACATAGTTAGAGGTAAATGTCTGACTTCTTCAGAGTAACTAGCATTACACACATGACTGGTCATTCCAATATGAAAATAAAGAAGTTTGTAACCTCCACATATCACCAACTCTACCACTGGAGGAAAGTGTTGTCCTCATTCACAAATAACGTGCAGTTTTAAAGCCACTCCTCCAACTATCAGATCAGGTGTTATTTGAAAGGAATTAAAAAGAACAAAGGTAGCTAGAATGAAAGCAGCTTAATGACTTTCTTGACCACACATTATGTGAAAACAGCACATACCTAGAATAACAGACAAATTTTGAAAAGTTTTAAATCAAAATATAAAAAAAAGCAACTTATTATACGCCAAAATAGTTATGATGAAATCAACAGTACCCGTTGTGCAGAATGGGTTATAAAGAAATGAAAGATTCTAAAAATGTTTTGCAAACAACAGCAAGAAATGCATGAAAGCAACTTAAAAGTGTTAGAAGTGTACAGAGTGTGAAGCAAATTCCACGCATAGTTAGCAGTCAGTCAAGTATGAAAATCTCAGATAGTAGCTCCCCAAGGCAAAACATTAGCATAGTAAAAAATAGTTTCTTTTAACCATATATGATGAATGATTGAAAATGCTTAACAGCCAATTTTGCATTTTATCATTAGTTTTACTTACTAAGAAAAGATTGTAATTAGATTTGTTTCTTTGATAATGAATGATTAAGATGGAATAAATAAGTAGTTTTTATTTCACATATATTCTCATACACTATAGTTTTGTGTATCTGTAAAACATCAATTAGGCTTAGTTACAATAATATTGAAAATATGTATAAAAAAACAAAAATTTGCAAAAGACAGTTCTAGTCAGTATAATGTTTTTACTGTATTATTTAAAAATGTAAAATTTACACATAGGAACAAAATGTAAACCTATTAATGTGAAAAAAAAACGTTTTTATTGATGCATATCTTTAATATAGAAAACAGTAGTATCTATAACTACAGTTAATTGCACTACCAGAATTGCTGAGCATCTGCTAAACAGTAACATAAATTTAAATTACACAACATATAAATCAAGATAGATAATTACATTAGTGGAGCTTCTCAAGTGATCTAATAATGATTAGTTTTTTAGTTGATTACCATTCTATTTAAGCATCACTTGTGTAAAACTGGAAATCATCAGTTTCAGCATTTATGATAAAATGTGCAATACTGCAAAAACGAATCTAGGGTTCAAAAGTCTAAACATGCAAGGTATGATGTTACACTTGTTCAAAGTATTCTTAAGTGCAATTGAAAAAAATGTAACACAGAAAGCAATTAAAGTATTTGTAGTCAGGTTGTGGCAATCCATCATTATCTGTTGACATGGTTAGTAGCCAATATGATCATCTAAGTCTAAATATTAATTAGTTACTTTTTTTTATTAACACCAAATGCTAATTACTAACTACTTTTTATCCAACATTTTGGCTGCTAATCTGTTGCTGTCTTCAGACAGATCCCGAGAAGGACCATTTCTATGTTGGTAGTGGTCAGGATTTGATCCTTGGTCTTCTTTGTAGAGAGGCAGGTGTGCTTCACCTATCTGAGGTTTCTCTCATAGGAACTTGAATCAATATATTTAAATGATATTCAGGTTTTACTTATTTTTCTGGTAGGTTGGCTGAATATAATCAGTTAGGTGGGTGTAGAAGGTTTCTTTTATCTTTCGTTTTTTTTGTGTGTGTATGTGTTTCACATCCAACTCTTATTACATTTTATTGTATGGTCTTCTTCAACATAAGCTATTGCAGATGGATTAGAGTTAGTATTTTTTTTTCTCCAATGCATTGGAGTCCACATTGACAAAGGATGTTGTAAATGGTGTTTTGCTTTCCACTGGGTCTTTGGGAGGTTTGATGTGTACAAACTGTGATTGTATTGTGACTTCTGAATTGCTCCAATTTCATGTTGTGTGCATGTCCTCACTATGCATTCAGAGATATCTTTGACAGAGAGGAATATGTCTGTTTGTACTTGTAATTTTCTTTCTGCTTTTTGTATTTACCTACCTCATCAAGTGTTTTAGGTACCAATTGTCAAAGAGGGTTATAGTGATACGAGTGTCTTCTATTTTCTGCAACAGTGCTCAGTAACCTCTACACGGAACATTCCAAAAATAACATCAAAAATTGCACTAAAGTCCCAGGATTTGGCTCAGATATGTTAATAATACAATTGAAATTTGGCTACAAACACACCAATGCATATACAAGATTTCAGAATTAATGAGCCATTTGACCAGATAACATCACATGGTACAATTCACAATACAAACAGATGATAACCTCCAATTTCTAGACATGATGGTTACAAAAGCACATAATCATACACCACAGGAGTTTACATTATATCAATAAGATGTATACCATCAGATCAGTTCATCTAAAATGTCCTATCTTTTGTACTTAATTTATTACAAATACTTCATGAATTCATTAATTAATATGTTTTCTATTAACGTAGAGTGGTGATGAGGTATAAGCTGTGAATGTGTAAAAACTGTTTTATGAAAATATTTCGTCAACAAAACTAAATATTCATGAAACTGAGAGTTCTGATTAGCATAAAATGTGAAAAACGTTTTTTTTCTTTATAAAATAATTTTTTATGATCAGATAAAGAAACAACAAAACTGCTCATTTAAAACAAAAACTTACCAGCATATGTTCAGCAAACCATCCTTCACGTTTTCCTAGAAAAGACCCAATCCTCAATGCAAAGCACTTTTTCCCTAGTAGTGAATTACCACCGTAGCCACTTCCAAAGGAACAAATTTCATTATTTTCAGGTATATGAGAAATAATCGTCTTGGCAGGATTGCAAGGCCAATTGTTAATAGGTGCTAAAAGAACAGAAATTTATTTTAAAAAAGTACTTAAACTTATTCTTTGTCACTGTTTGGCTTGTACAAGTATCCTTGCTAATTTATTTAATGCATTATTTGACATTGCTCATGAAATATGCTAACCTGATCAACTTTAAAAGGAAGAATTTCCTTCCAAAAATGCTTGGTTAATCATGAATTTGTTGAATTGTGATTTTTCTATTTACCAATCATATGCATTTCTCTAGATATTAAGAATTTCTGTTACCACTGACATCCAAACTATAGTAGGTTTTAAAAGCTAAATTAGTATTTAAATTTAAAAGGTAAAAGAGTAACTATATGATGTTGATCTGCATCAAAATGAGTGGTTTTAAGGTACATGATACAAAAGAAATTTACTCACACCAAGCTAACAACTTATTAGTTAACAAGTTAAAGCTAGACAATTTGTTAAACGTTTTAACAATTTTCTTTTTTTATAAGTCTTATGTTGCATAATGAAGTAATTGAGCTTTACATCATAAAAAATATTTTACTTTTTATTTTTACAATGAAAAACATTTTGAAAATGAAAACTATTACATACTTTCCATGGGTAATGGCTGTCCTACAGAATGAAGACACTTGACAAAATCACCATCTCCCAAGGCTTTCAGTACTGCTGATCCAATACGGGTCATGATACGCATACAACAAACAACATATGGTGAGTCTGTTAATTCAATTCCCACTTTAGAAACAGGAGAACCAATTGGACCCATACTGTATGGGATCACATACATTGTTCTTCCTGAAGGGGGAAAAAAATATTAAAGCTTAAGCTAGAAATAACAAATATTTCTGAATACAGTCTTGAAATGATACCACAATATTAAAAAATTGAATGTTAGTATCCAATGTAAATATGTGGCCAATCTCAAGACCCAGAAAAATAAAAGGAGAAAACTTTCAGAAACAGTATTCTCACCAAGAAATGTCATCCTGCCATGTTACATTTGTAAAGATTAATAAAAAATAGATAAAACATCTATGATTTAAACAGATATTAAACACACTCAAAGAGCCACTTTACAGCCTTTTAAGAGCCAAATGAAGTACACAAGACACTACTTGGACATAGTGTAACAATGTAACAAGCACTAGCTTAACAATAACTATTCACTTAAATTTATTAACTGAAAGAAATTTCTGCTTTTCATTTAAGGGGGTAGTGAAACACTTAAAAAAGAAAAATATTTATAACTTTGAAATGCCTGATATCATCAGATCTGTAATTTTTCTTTCACATTGGCACAGAAGAACAATAACAAAACATGGCAGAAGTATATATTTAAAAAAATCTCAAATTTAAAATGTACCACAAGGTCCTTAAGTTTAGGGTGAAAAAATTTAAAGTACGTTTTAAAAAACTGTGAAAGATCTGATAATAATTTAACATTAAACTGACAACTGTATTGGCAGAAAAAAAAAAGCAATGCCAAAACAATGCATATGCTACACAATTCTCATAAATATCTATGTAATAGTTAATTTTGGGGGGGAGGGGGGGGAGGAATTAAATCAGTGTTAAAGATAAAACATCAAAAATTTTTTTTAAAACTTCGGGTCACATGCATAATTTTATATGTACATTTGGTATAAAGGAAGGTTAATGACAGACTGAGAGATTAGTGGGTGATGCTGTACAACAGTCTATTTTAGTTCATTTATTTGTTAATATATAAAAAAAAAAAGCCATTACTAGCCAGGAAAGAGTAACTTTAGATAGCTGGGTTGTATTTTTTTTAAGTTCTTGAAAATATTGGTTTCCCAAAATTGCGATGGATTTAAATACTTGTTTTTTAACTGCAGTTTCAAATTGCTTGGATTCAGTACAAATACACACATTTTGGCTATGAGATTTGCTATATGAAAATGAAATTTAGTGATGAATCATCACTTATACTTGTGTCAGGAAGCACATTATGCTAATACAACAGTAAACTGACTAACAATGTTTTATAAGAAAAAGGAAAATTATGTTACGCAGAGAATGTACTATATGTTTCAACAGAACATTAATTTGTCTTCTTGAAACATGTAGTATAAGTTCTCTACTAAAATAATTTTCATTATGTTTATACATCACTGTTTGTCAATTTCCTATTGATGGATCACCAGTTCATAATATAAACAAAATGTGAACACAGAGACAAGTGGTAGTGAGCAGATGTTTGATAATAAGAAATTTGTTAGACATACTAGTAGTGTTACAGTGAAAGAGTGTCCGTTTAAGAGCACTTCAATAAAAAAAAAGAAATCATTGCCAGATAGGGTGGACTTATACAATACTAATTAGACCCATTTTCTATTTGTACAACATAAGATATACAATAATTTAGTATAAATAGGAAGGTTATTACAGCTCTTAAATAGTAGTAAGATTCAGAATGTTGTGGGTCAGCATCTGAGTCCATTTCCTGTAATAAATTTTGGTCATAAGTCTACTTGTTTTTCACATGCATTTGGTAGATAATGAATAATGTGTGTGTGTTTTCTTATAGCAAAGCCACATTGTACTGTCTGCTGTGTCCACCGAGTGGAATCGAACCCCTGATTTTAGCATTGTAAATCCAAAGACTTACTGCTGTCCCACCGGGAGCCAGATAATGATGAAAGTGAATATCCACAGTACCTTTTGAGTGTTATTACTTTAAGGTTATAATTTTAGTAGTTTTTGCAGTTGTATAACTGATTATTATTTTTCTATTCCTAGCAAGTTATTTATTGTTTAAGACAACTAAAGTACATTAAGTATAGAAGAAGCTCAAATATATTGATAATCTTTTTTTAACTACTTATTTTCAAAAAGAACATCTTGTCAGTAAGAAAAAATATTTTCAACCAATACTGGACAACTGGATTTATTTTCTACATGTTTTAAGAACTTACAAATATACTATATGCCTATAAAAATACTAAAAAGACAAAATAAAGGAATTGTAATCATTACAATACACATTTTTTGTGATTATTTGTAACTTAATTATTTAGTTGAAAATTTTTGTGTGAATAAACTAGACACTATTACAGTATAACACTTTTGCATAAGATTGTTTAATACTAGGAAATGCAATTAAACAGGTAATCATTAATTACAAATTTTTACATTTAATGGCTTACTTCTCATATGTGTCTGATATACAATAAGCAAAATTCTTGACAAAAGAATTAAAAATGTGCTATACGATTTGTGTTAACAAGTTGTGCATGTTTGAACAAACTTATTTTAATGTTCAGGTTTACATAACTCACTTTCCTTCATTCCCTAACTATAACCAAAATTTTACCCCTCAATCAAGAATATCAGGAGTTGAAAAAAAAAGAAAGAAAGAAGCTTACCAGAGCTTTCTGTGCATAATTTTATGGTACAATTCTAAGGTATCCACATGGTAAGATTACTGAAATTTCTAAACTGTTGAACTCACCCTGCATACAACCTGGGTATCTCTCACTAAATGCTTTCTCCAGGTCTTCTGGTGAAATCCAGTTTCCTAACTTTCCTTTCACTCCTTCTTTTGGTGTGGGAATAGTGTCATTTTTGTTTGGTGTACAGATATATGTGCGACTTTCAACTCTAGCCACATCAGAAGGATCTGTACGAGCTAACCAACTATAAAGAAGAACAATTATTTATTAAAAGTTAGTATTCTTCACTGGAAATTAACAAGTATAATAATAACTACTGGATATATCTACAAATATATGATAACATCTTTAGAAAAAATCTGCTTTGTACAAATTACTATGAAGTTAACCAATATTTAATAATTCATGTTTAAAAATAATTTAGCTATACCTTTGGTAAAATATTTAATGCATGACTAATTAAATAGTTACTGTTTTATTACTACATAGACACCCTGATAAATGGATAATTATTGTGGCCAACAGCAACTAATGAATTAGAAACTACATTCAGAAAACAGATATGCTGTAAAGGAGTGGATATTTTAATATACATTGCTGGCTAAAAATATTGGTTTTAACTTCTTTTCATACTCTAATTCACATTTTTATGAAACTTTATTTTTGTTCCCAGAGACATTATTATCAATTTATTTTTTTAATAAACAGTTAACATGTTAAATAAATGCAGTTTAAAGTGAGAGATCAAAATATAAATGTTGTTGCAGATCAAGGATAATATATCTAAAAAACATGTTTTTTAGCAATCAAAACATAAAGGCATATGATACACTACAATTTTTTTTCCCTTCAGCTACTTAAATATACCACAATGATTGGTAAGGACTATTGGTATGGACAATGTACATTGACAAACTAATACACTAAAGTACAGATGTAACATTACTTTCCAATTTCTCTTTATAAAAGTGCCTGACTATACCACTGATATAAATAAACATGAATAGTCATGATCAAAGTAAGCTGATAACATATATCAAAACTAAAAAAAATTATTCCAGTAATTAATATCGATTACACAAGCCTGCGAATTTAAACTTCATAAAAGTTGTTTTGGTTTTAATAATGGATTTTCCATAATTCAGCTACACAGATTTTGAAAATAATATTCATTTTTTTTTCCTATCACGTAAGAATATTTTACAAATTTGGGAAAGAAAACAAACTCTTACTGAGATCAAATTTACAACAAATACAACAGAATATGTTTGGGTCATTTACACTACCTCTAGTTGCCATAGTAATGAATAAATAATATTGAAAAAAAAAAATGTCAAAGTGCACACACAAGTAAATACCATCCAGAAATGACACATCATGCGACCTGTTAGCCGTTTATATACTAGCAGTGTGTTTGTTGTGGGTTCTAGAACAATCGATAGGACTTTCACATTGCGACTGGTCAAGAGAAATCTATAGCAAGTGGTTGTCAACCTTTTAAGCATAATAAAATGTAACCCGATTCCGAAGAAAATTATTAACTTATGTAAAAGTACATATGACATTTTGTGAAAAATCTGTTCGTGATGGAGAAAAATGGATATCATCTTAGGATTCAGCGTACAGGAATTAGTACAAGAAAGACAATAAAACCATCACAGGCCTGTGTTATTTCAAGTATCATTCTAACTAAACATATGCAAAGTCATAAAACAAAAACTTATTGATTAGAATACATGGATTCATCAATTAAGTGCTCTTGCACTTAGATGTATTTTCAGCCATAACATACATACATAACAAATTACTACTGTAGTGTGTAGTAGCACAGTATGTTTAGTAATATTAGAATTACATGAATATTCTTTGTAATAAAAAGTGTTTTAAGTCTGATCACTGCATTTCCTTGTTGATACATTATTCTGACTGACCTACATACACTTGAATATTTCCTGGAAAGTGAAAATAATACCACCCAAATGAATGTCATTAAATGTTTAAACAAGCATTTCAAATTTTAATAAGCAAAGTGCTAAATGAAATAATTTGTCTAATTTAGTATTTGTTATTTTTCAATAAATCATCAAGGTACTGTTTCTCCTCACGTCTGTGCAAATAACCCTTTAAATCAGAAGTATTTACTTGAAAGCCCAATAAATGTCTCCAAAACTAATTACGTTATAAAATCATAGTTTTCTTACTTGTTTTCATATTTTCTAAGTGGTGTAATCATCCCTTGTCTCTTCATCAAATCCAGCAAGTAATTATTTTCTGCCTCACTACCATCACAGATGTGGATATTTTCTGGTTTACACAATCTGGCTTTCTGTTCAACATATTCTTTGACCTTTGGCCTTAGATTACTTAGATCACCATGAATAACGCTAAAAAGTCTACTCCCAACTCTTACTAACTTTCCTGGTGAAATGACAGGTTCAGATGTTCCATACCTGGAAGAACATTATAAAATATTAATACTTTTATATAATATCAATTACTTTGGTTTTTGAGATATTTTTCAATTTGATATTCATGTTTAAACTGAAATAAAAAAAAATACACAACTACTTCATAACAGAAATCATGTTTCAACCAAATAGTAAAGGCTCATAAAGCATACAATAAAACCATTATACCTGTTCAGTTTCTAAAATACAGAGCTTGTTTTTAAAAACATGCCAGCTTTTATAGTTGGGCCAGTCCATATCAAATCAATCACTTCAATGAACTGACTTCTTTCAATTGTGATGGTAACTGGCACAGGATGTTGATCCCATAGAGATACAAGAGATAACCAAGTTTCACATCTCTAGGTAAGATAAGTTTTATGTAAAAAGTCATCAAATATTTGACCATAAATGGCTCCCAGATGGGATCAGATGCATAAAATGTGCCAATAATGTATTTATTTTTAAAATTATGGTAAAAAATAAACTATTGCTAAAGATCTCTTTTTGGAATTTAGCCAAATATGTTTTTTTTCTACTAACATTCAGAATTTTGAATTATTGTCATTCTATCCAGCTTTGAGTGTCAAAACCATCATGGATGTCCAAAATCAAGGTTGGAACCTTGATAAGATCAGGAGGTAATGATTTATTACATGGCTTTTAAATTCTGTGCATATTTAATTTCTTCCTTTATTGAATTTCCACTTATAGGGTTTTCAAGCTTCAAAATGTAATGCTCTCTCTCTCTCTCTTGAAACACACACACACACACACACACTAGGAATGATGTAATAACACAACAAATAAAGTGAAAATAAAAAGACAATAACAGCCCAAAAACTTCAACCAAGTTAATAATGATGATTGTAAAACTTACAATGAAAATACATACATTTATATGTGACACTTCAAGTGAACAGTTCAATATAACACCAGTTCGCAAGACTAACACTCTCACTGTGAATGCACTGCATATCAACAAAAACAAATTAAAATGGTACTACACTTACTGAAATATTGTTTCAGCTCTTTCCATACTTTGATAATAGTATAATAATTATAAATCAGGAACACAGCTTTTCAAATGCAGTTTGACAATAATATTTTAAATAAGGTTCCCTTTTACAGCAAAGTTGTATTTTATCCAGCAGTTGCTGTTTAATAAAAGATGCTGGTGAAAAATCCATGTTCTATCATGATCCACAATGTCACACACTACTTTTTATATAATGTATAATAAATTATAACCAACATATCTTAAGCATGGTTCCCCTGAGACCTACAACTCCAGCCTCTAAAGCCCCTGCAATAATCCATCTCTGGTAATGGAAGATACACTAAATGTGATTCAGACTAAATAACTTATAGTTATAAACTGCTGACTGTGTTCTCTTCTTTCCAAATGGGCTTATTCCAAAGGAAGTTTCACTATACTTAGGTCAAGTAGCAGTGGACAGCTGTATGAACTTCTACCAAGTTAACAGGAGTTGACTGATCCATGAGTGAGAGGTTTGGTGGAACTGAAAGTTAGTGTATGTTGGCCATTCAAAAAAGTTCCTCACCAATTATGTCATCCTCTGAAAAAATGTGTTTTGCCTATGTGACTCAAACAACTTGCACCCTACCAAAGCATATACAGATTTGTGCACATCAGTTTGGAACATAGTAAAAAGTATTCATGTGGAACTTGTCAGTCTGATTATAGGTCAAAACCTAAGCATCAAGACCAGAAAGGTTTTGACCAAAACTAAATTATCCCCACCAAAACAAAAAGAAACCTAAGCAGTAGTGACAACAGTTCAGTGCCATCAGGAGGTGGTATCTGGGAAGAAAAATAGGTGTAGAATTTGAAAAAGCTATTTCTCTAGTTAATGAATCTCTAGGAAGTATTGGCAAGTCTCCTGTAGCTACAAAGAAGATGTATCAGAAAAATTACCCAGAGGAGAAACTCAAATGTATTGAGTGGACTATATGAAAATAGAAAGGTTGGAAGCCCCTGAGCTGCAAGAAGAGTTCCAAGTAGGAGAAAGGACTAGTTGAAATAATGCAACAGCTGAAGAGTTGTACAGCTCTACAGTAAGAGAAATAAAAAAAAATCAAAGGTTAACTGTTCTCCCCAAGAGCTGGAGTATCCTGAAAGTCATATGCTGAATTCAAAATAACATTCTATATGGTATGGCCAGGAAAACAATCAGTGAAGGAAAAAGCATTCTCAACACACTAAACTCTTGACCAGGTAAACTTCTCAGCCAGAACAAAGTGAAAGGGTCCAGCAAGTTTGGTGAAGTTTGTCCAAAGAATGTTGCATTAGCAGATGCAAGTGAAACACACAGTGTGTGTGCATTTATGTGACCATCGAAAACACCAAACTCATGATGGACGGTTCAAAAATGAAGATGGTTCCCGATTTCAAAGGTATGTTTGAGAACTATGAAAGAGAATTCACCTACAAACAACTCCTAGCACTATCACCTCAATACACTGCAGCCAGCTTACTCTTTGAATAAATATTCCAAGTTGTAAAAGTACTGACTTTTGATCCAATTGCGCCTACTGTAAAGTAAATGACAATGAAGAGAATGAAACAACAAACTAAAACAAAGTTCTTTTGCTCCAACACAGCGCTCTTGAAATATGCATTGAAGGAAACCTTTGACGACCCAAGGCCGTCTTGATACTAAAGACTGTATACTGTAGCTAAAACTAGTCTGCAACATCACAAGCATGATCCAAAGGCAATAAAGTATCCTTAGATAGGAGCTCCAGTTTTTATTTTTATATGGTGATAGAAGATTTATAACTGAATACATTTCAAGGTATAGTAAGTTAAATATTTATATTAAGTAAGTTGGAAAATAGCATACTCTTTTTAAGTTATAATATTCTGTGAAATGTGGCTGGTATTTAATGTTGTTGTTAACCATAACCTAACTCTGCAAATTTAACATGGAACATGTGCAAACATGTATTACAAATACTCAGCCATAGAGCCTAACAATAATTAACACATTACATTTCTTTAAGTTTAACAATCAATATATTCCATTATTGCTACAAATAAAAATAACATATATAAGGCTAGGCTACTTCACTTGATAAACATCAGCAATATTAAACATGTACAATAGAATAGCATATACTGATGATGATTATACAACTTATTCAGTTATTGGGTAATATCCTATACATAATATAGTGTTTTGCATACAATTTATAGTAAAAAATGTGTCATAAAGCAGTAATACCTACGAAACTGTTTTAATATTTGTGGTGTAACGATATCATTGTTTCTTAGTATATTGGTTCTATGTGGATCTGGAAAAAATATTAAATTTAAATTTTATTTTAGGGAAAACCACCATAAACACTATCATTTATCTATGTAAAACCTTAATTCCCCTTTAGATGCCTCAGAAATGTTGTGTTCCTAGTTGGTTGTGACTCAAAGTATGCAAAATTAACATAGCCAGTATCTTATCTTTTCTTAAGGAACCCCATTGGCAACTAAACTGGATAAACTTATTCAATCAAGAAAAGTTTGAACCATCAAGTTCTGCAATAGTGTGTATTCAACATTTTAATGAAAGGTTCATTATCAGGAAAGTTAGAATAACAAAAGATGATGGAATTATACTGGTTGTTTCAAGAAAGATTCCAGGACTAACAAATGATGCATATTCATCTTTCTTCCCAAACCAACCACCGTACCTGTCATTTGAACCACCTCCTAAGCAAAAATACAAAGAACAGAGAATTATAGAGGCAACAGCACAGAACAAAGTACAATTTGAAATTGGTGCAATAAAGACATTATTAAGTAATGTGAAGATTTTAAAAAATCTATATCATGACAAGAAATATTGACATTGAACATTTTTACTCTTCAAAGATAATAGTTTCATTTAAAGTTTTGTCTGCTTTATCAGTGAATATATGGTATAATGACATGGATATTCCAATGATAAAATTCAGACAGTCAAACAATGGGTCCACATGACCTTAAATGGTAGTATACAGAAAGTATCTTTACAGTTTCTGTATGCTCATGGGCTGTATTTATATAATCTGAATGATGCCAGTCTGGCACCCTTGGACATTTTGAAAATTTTGCATCCTCTGATGTCATGGTCTCAAAAATGGGGGTTTTGGGCCCAAAAAATCACTATTATTGCTTGTAACTCAAGAATAAAACTTGAGATGGGTTATAAAAGAAGTGGTATTAGTTTTTACATAAATAGAAAATAATTTCACTGGCCAAGAATATCCTATACTCAGTAAAGAAGTTCTGTTTATTACCAAACAAGGTCAAGTGGAACTATTGTGCAACTAACAAATTGATAAAATTCTAATAAATTTATTTTGGAATAGAATTCTATTCTAATGATAAATAAGATATGATCAATTAATTTTATATAGGTAATCATACAATGCTTGCATTCTGGCAGTTATCTTTTCCACTGCAGGCACAAAATATGGTGCATGGTAATCCATTCTTTTTACAATGACATCTGCTGGAACTGCAGGAAGTTTCTGATGTACAGTTATATCTTTTGCGCTTGTTATAGTTTTCATGAAACAACTTTTAAATTAGTAAGCATATGTTAATGAAATTTGGCAGATTATCAATATACAATGCTTTCATATCCAAAATATCAAATTTTTTTTATCAAGTCATAAGGTTTGTAAAGCAATGTTTTTGTCATGCCTTTATTTTCTTATCACATTGCCTATCCAACTTGCAAAGTAATTTTCACTTTAAGATTAAAAATACTTTTGTGCATCAGAAAACTTTCAAATTTCACATGCAAAATCTTTATAATATCCAGATAGTTATCAAACGTTTCTTGAGGAAAAACTTTATATTTATCTGTTATTTTCGATAACAAATCTCTGTAAGGGTTTGGTCGATTTGACCAATCTCGTAACTACATTAAAAACACCAGAAAATATTTATAAATTATGCCTTTTTCATTCTAGAATGACTACACATTATAACAAGA